AAAAAAACAACAAAAAAGAAGAAAGTCCCTAGTTGGCACATGCATACAAAGAAAAAAAACTGATGAAAGCAATCTGGGGGTAAAAAAAAGATTACATATGGTACAGAAAACTGGTGTTTGATAAGCAACGTTTTTCCTATAGCAGGTTACTCAATTACAGATAAAAGAAACTACCAACTCGGAATAGATTTAAAAAAATTGATGTGAGAAACAGTTGATTCATACATTGGTATATCTTAAATATCTGTGTAATAGCTAGTTCAAGGTATGTCTGCCTTGGTACTTTATTTTCAACTTCTGAAAGATGCTGAACAGAGGAGCACTGACAGCACTGTTGGTTAAGAGATGGGCTGATAACTACAAAGAGAGCAGTTTTAAATCTCCAGCTGGAGCAAAATGAGGCTTTCTGCTCCTGTGAAGATTCACAGCTTTGGCAATCCAAAGGGGCAGTCCTACGCAGAATTAACTTGAAGGCAGTGATTTATTAAGAGCATTGGTGGCCTACTGGGTTACTCATTGGGCTGCTAACTGCACAGTCATCGATTCAAAATCCCAAGCTGCTCAGCAAGAGAAAAGATGAGCTTTTCTACTCCCTTAAGCATTAGTCTAGGAAAACTACATGGGCAATTCTACTCGGTCTTACAGGGTTAATATCAGTTGCAATCGACTTGATGGCAAGGAGAAAAAGATGACAAAAGGTTAAGTTCATATGGGAACTCTCATGATCAGCATGTCACTGAGAGACTATGAATAAGCGTCAAAAGCAAACAGAAGACAAGACTTTCTCGACTTTCTTGTAAGCTTTGTGAACTAATTACCTAATTAATGTAAAACAAATTCAATGCTATTAAGTTAATTCTGATTTATAGCATCCGTAGAGGACAGGGAAGAACTGCCCATGTGAGTTTCCAAAATTGTAACTATATGCCTCTTCTTTCTCCTGAGGGACAGCTGGTAGTTTCGAACTGCTGACCTTTCAGTTAGCAGGCCAACACAGAATGATTATGCCACCAGTGCTCCTTTAATTAATGTAAGGTCCTGTCAAATAAACATACAGATTGTGTTTAAGTTAAAAGATACTAAATAACTTGTCTTACAACATTAGCTTTTAACTAAGAAATTTATAGACATTTCATTTGAAGAATTAGGCAGTATTCGAAGATATAAAAAGTATTTTAGCCACTAGAAAGTTTGTTCAGAAGAAAACGCTAATGATTAATGAAAAGGTTAACATTTAATCTTAGAAAATGACTAAGGAAAATTTAAGCTTCCATTATTTTGTAAATTTACAAATAAGTAGTATGGTTGAATTTATAATGACATATATATATAAAGAGATTTTTCCTTAAATTTATTCTGCATCTCAGGTCTGTGTTGGCATTGTTACATCATGCTGTGAGAAATTTTTTCTGAAGGAAAAGTGGAGGCATGTATAATCCAATAATTGATACCTCACACATACTGTTGATAATTGAAGGTCAAAGAGTAAATGGCAGAGGTTGGAACCAATTCTAGAAATACAGTAAAAATTTAACTGTCATCATGTATAAGTTAAACATCACTTACACACACACACAAACTGAAAACCTTAATAACGTAATATATTTATTTTACCAATTACTTTTGCTTTTAGGAAAAACAACATCTAAAGATTTACAATTATCGATGTACATTGGTACAGATGGCACCTTGAAACACAGGGAATCCAGGGC